GGGCAGGGTGGCCCGCTACATCCCCGGCGCTCCCGGGCTTCGCCCAGCCCGGCCTCGGCGGCGCCACTCCGCCCGCCCGCCTGCCAGTGCCGCAGTCCCGAAGTCGCTCTGTCCGGCCACTGTTCTCCACCTCAGGAACGCTCCGAAAAACAAACCGCTGGTCGCGCAGCGAGCCTCCCGGCCTGTCACTCATGCCATCATCGGCCAATCGCAGGCATCCGCTGGGCCTTGGCCCCACCCCCGCTCGCGCTACCAGCCAATAACCAGGAAGAAGTGGGACGCCCGCGTTCCCCGCCCCCCGTCCAGCTCGCTCCCAACACCCTCACTCTCCGCCGCCAGCTAATCATCTGCTCCACACGATGAACAAATCCCGCCTACCTTTGCAGGATGCCAATGAGCGAAGTCAAGACGATTTCCGAGGGCTGTCCGGAGCCTGCCAATCACCGAGATAGCGCCCGGTTCCTCTCTCAATTGGCCAATTAGGAGGCGAGCTCTGAGTACCCGCCTCGGTGCATCCCCCGCTGGCGCTCTCCCTCTTCCCGGGAGGTGTTGGTTGCTCCAATCACAGCTCCGGTTCGAAGCTCCGCCCACATTCCCACCTCTACTCAGTGACCGAACCTTCCGCGGGCGCGCGGGTTGGCGCGGATCCCCGCGGAGGCTGCTCTGGGAATAGGGTTAGAGAAAGGCAGCCGACTGCACGGGTCCTCCTGCCTTTCTCTCCGCAGCCTGCAGTCCAGGGGCAGGTGTCCTGCCCCTCCCATGCTTAGTATCGCGCGCGGAATGGGCAGGGAAGGTCTGGCTGTGGGTGCTTCCAGGCGCGATCCCCTGGTCAGTCCTCTGCTCAGGCGCTGCTTTTGCGGGCAGGAGGACCGCCTCGTCACTGCTCCCCTTCCGCTAGGTCTCAGACCTTCGGGGCCACACCCATGGGTCTCCTTTCCTGCATCCCCAAGGGCTAGGGTAGTGCTGGAATGTGGATCCCTACATTCTGAGTTCTGCTAGAGTTGTTTTCAGAAAATAGCTTATCACGGTTATAAAAGCAGCACAAGTTTGAAAAAGAAAACTGAAAAGTGCAGGAAAATATAAAGAAAACCGCACCCTAGAGATAATTTTATCTATTTCCTACCTAGATACACAGCATTTGACAGAAAATTACTTCATAGGCTTCATATTGTTTTGTGATGTGCTTACAAATTTTGTTTTCCTGTGCCGCTAAATATTGTTCCGAAACAATTGTACTGGCTGTATGGTATTTCAAGAGTGACCGTAATTAATTTCTCCAACTTCCCATTGTTCCAACATTTGATGATCTTCAGATTCCAACCCAACCACAATTAATGTGGGTTCCCTTCTGCTGGTCCACTTTTCCAGTGACATATGTCAGACTGCAGAATCACCTTCCTCAGATACCATTTTCAACTATCATCTAGAAACCCTTACAGGTAACTTTGCCAGGAGTGTCAAATCTCTTAGTATCTCAAACAACCCCTTTTTTCTTCACACCCACCCCCTAATAGTTAATTAGCTCTCTTGACCTGTTTGTGTTTGAAGTCTCAGATTCTTATTTGATTTCAAGTCCCTAATTTACTGAAATTCTATAATTAGAGTAATCTTTTTTCTGGAGAGGGAAAATAAAAATATTACCCATTTACTATTTGTCAGGCATGTCATCTCTTTTAATCTTTCCATTAACTGAGCTAAATAATAATTAGGAGTTTTCATTTTTATTTTTTATTTTATTTGTATTTTATATGTATGCGTGTATTGCCTGCATGTAGGTAAGTGCACCTGTGTCGTGCAATGCTGGTGGAGGACAGAAGAGGCTATCCAATCCCTGGAACTGGAGTTATAGACAGTTGTTAGCTGCCATGTGGGTTCTGGGATTCGAACCCGGGTCTTCTGCAAGAACGGCCAGTGTTCTTAACCGCTGAGCCATCTCTCCAGCCCGTGTTTTCGTTTTTGAACGTGAAAAGAACTTTTCTCTTCCGCCTTTCAGATGCCTTCTTTGTGGGCTTCCTTTCCATTGTTTGTCTTTAGCCATCAATGTCAAACATTCCCACACTCTAGTTACAGTTTGTGCTGAGGATCCGAGCTCAGGCAGGTCTTCCTTATGCATTCAAGAGGCACCACTCTTGGGTATCCCCCAGGCCCCCCAAATTCTACGGGTCCAAACTGAACTCATGATTTTCTTCCTTGTTCCATATTTTCTCTATTCGTCTTAGTTTCAGTTCCCCAAGACACCTAAGTTAACAGTGAGCTCTTCCTCCCTATTTCCCTTCCCTGACCACCAGCCTTGACCATGTCTCTCCAATCTGTCTGCTTCTCTTCCACCCCCAGCTCCTGGCCCAGTTCAAACCATCAAAATCTCTTCCCTGGATTACTTAACAAGTATTCACACCTGAGTGATCTAACAGACACACAATCCTGGCAAACCCTACTTATAAACATTGTATTCCATCTACTTTCAGATAAATAAAATATGTAAATGTAGTTAAAGCAGCCTTCCAGGATCTAGCATCCTTCTCAAACTGTGAGTCTTACATTTCCCACAACTGCCAACCCCATTATTCAAGCCTACGCTGCAGCCACACTGGAAGTTCCTCAAATCAGTCAGTCAATGAATCAATCAATCTCTCCCTCCCTCCATCCCTCCCTCTTTTCCTCTCCTCTCTAGTCCTGCATGTGCTATGTTCTCTGTATTGAACGCTCTTTTCCATTTCTGTTCCCACTGTCATTTTTTCAAGGGAGAACTAATGTCTCCTTGCTTCTTCATCACTCCCAAAGGAAGCCTTCCCAGACCGGTAACTCTCAAACTGGGTTAGGGCCCTCTGACGTGCTCCCAGAGCACACTGTACTTTCTTCATCTAAGCACTTAATTCTGCTCTAATGTAACTGCCTTTTGCAAAATAAGCATAGAAACAGACACTGTCAGGTTGAGGCTATAGCTCAGTGGTAAAGGGCTCTCCTACCATGTGCAAGGCCCTAGGCTGGGTCACCTAACACTGAGGGGAAGGGAGAAGACAAGTGAGCAAGAATGAAGTTGTCATTCAAATTAGCATGCCTACTGTATTTAATAGTATACTCAAAAAAAAAAAAAATACAGGCTGGGTGTGGTGGTACACACATGCCTGTATAATCTTAGCACTCAGGAGGCAAAAGTAGGAAGATTGTCTCAAGTTGAAGGTCAGCCTGGTCTACATAGCATGGCTCTGTCTCAAAACAACTAAAGTGTGTGTGTATAAAACGTTAAATGAAGACATTACCAATTGAATGCAATTTCCACAAATATGCCCTTAGTTAGGTATTTTACCTTCTGTATGTTGCTTTTTCTCCTCACTATTACTTTGTAAAACTTCCTAGCTGAGCATGCCTTATCAAAGCTGTCTCCCTAGTTTTACATTGATTTGATACCTCTAGGAATCAGAGCCATACCTACCCCCAGTGCTGTGGCCTGAGAAAGTGTCAGTCCTATCTGGCAGCCCAATTACATACTAGCTGTGCACTTTTTTTAAAGAACATGGAGACACTGGGACACATGATAAGGAACAATAAAAATAAGAATGGCTTCTCAGGGGATAGCTCAATGAAGTTACTTTACAAAAGAAAAAATACCAATAAACCTATCACCTGATTTTATGAAAATTCTTTTAATTTAGAAGTAAAGCAGGGTACACTGGAATCACCTGTTCAACCAGTTAGCTTATTGTGTTATCAAGGAATAATGTGTATAATACCACATAGAAGGTTTGTTATAGAATAATGTGTATACCACATAGATTTGTACAACCATGGTGTTATAAATTATTGGTATTTTCTTCTAAATAGATTTCATTTTGAAGCCCCACTTGTATAAATTTATCCCAAAGTGTACTTTGAAAGTAAACAAAGGTGAAGAAAATTCATTGCAGCATCTTTTATAATTAGATATACAAACATCAATTGAGAGATTAAATAAATTATGATACATTAATACAATAAAATATTATGTAGCTACTAACAAGAATGAAGAAACTTCCTCATAGGAATACCAAAAGTATCCAACATACCCTGTGAAGTAGTGGGTTGGGGAGGAAACCAAATTGAAGTATAGGGTGATCACATTTTTTTTAAAGATTTACTTTTAGAGTGTGGTAGCACATGCCTTTAATCTCAGCAGAGACAGGCAGATCTCTGAGATCCAGGCCAGCAGGGGCTACAGGGAGATCCTACCTCAAAAAACAAAACAAATATTTACTTTTTATTATGTTTTAATTATGTGTATGGGGGTGGGGTGTGCCCACAGAGGAAAGGGGTGTTTTAAGTCCCCTGGAGCTGGAGTTACAAGTTGTTTTGAGCCACCTGACATGGGTGCTGAGAACCAAACGGCTTCTCTGCAAGAGCAGTATGCGTTCTTAACCTCTGAGTCATCTTTCCAGCCCCAGATAATCAAATTAAAATCTTTTTTTCAACCAAATTT